TGGACCAGAACATCCAGATTGGCCCGAAAATCCATGTGGACCCGAAAATCCACATGGACCAGAAAATCCACATGGTCCTGAAAATCCAGATTGGCCCGAAAATCCACATTGACCCGAAAATCCACGTGGACCCAAACGTCCCTGTGGACCCGAAAATCCATGTGGACCCGAACATCCACATGGACCAGAACATCCAGATTGGCCCGAAAATCCACATTGTCCCAAACATCCACGTGGACCCGAACATCCACATGGTCCTGAAAATCCACATGGTCCCGAAAATCCAGATTGGCCCGAAAATCCATGTGGACCCGAAAATCCACATGGTCCTGAAAATCCAGATTGGCCCAAAAATCCATGTGGACCCGAAAATCCACATGGACCAGAACATCCACATGGTCCTGAAAATCCAGATTGGCCCGAAAATCCATGTGGACCCGAAAATCCACATGGACCAGAACATCCAGATTGGCCCGAAAATCCAGATTGGCCTGAAAATCCACATTGGCCCGAAAATCCACATTGTCCCAAACATCCACATGGACTCGAACATCCACATGGTCCTGAAAATCCAGATTGGCCCAAAAAATCCACGTGGACCCGAAAATCCACGTGGACCCGAAAATCCACGTGGACCCAAACGTCCCTGTGGACCCGAAAATCCATGTGGACCCGAACATCCACATGAACCCGAAAATCCAGATTGGCCCGAAAATCCAGATTGGCCCGAAAATCCACATGAACCCGAAAATCCACATTGTCCCAAACATCCACATGGACCCGAACATCCACATGGTCCTGAAAATCCACATTGGCCCAGAAAATCCATGTGGACCCAAAAATCCACGTGGACCAGAACATCCACATGGTCCTGAAAATCCACATTGGCCCAAAAATCCACATTGACCCGAAAATCCAGATTGTCCCGAGAATCCAGATTGTCCCGAAAATCCACATAGACCCGAACATCCACATTGGCCCGAAAATCCACACTGGGACAGCCTGGCTGCAGGATTGTCCCTAAAATCCAGATTGTCCCGAAAATCCAGATTGTCCTGAAAATCCACATTGGGACAGCCTGGCTGCAGGATTGTCCCTAAAATCCAGATTGTCCCTAAAATCCAGATTGTGTCACTCTTGTTAAAGGATTTCCCACTGTCCCTAAAGTCCAGACTGTTCCTAAAGTCTGGACTGTGCCACCCTGGCTAAAAGATTTCCCAGTGCCAGGAGCAGGATTTGGGATACCAGCACAGGATTTGGGATGGATTTGGGTTACCAGGTCAGGATTTGGGATGCCAGGGCAGGATTTGGGATGGATTTGGGGCAGCAGGGCAGGATTTGGGATGGATTTGGGATGCCAGGGCAGCATTTGGGATGGATTTGGGGTACCAGGGGCAGGATTTGGGATGGATTTGGGATGCCAGGGCAGGATTTGGGATACCAGCACAGGATTTGGGGTGGATTTGGGATGCCAGGGCAGGATTTGGGATACCAGAACAAGATTTGGGATGGATTTGGGTTACCAGGTCAGGATTTGGGATGCCAGGGCAGGATTTGGGATGGATTTGGGGCACCAGGGCAGGATTTGGGATGGATTTGGGATGGATTTGGGATACCAGCTCAGCATTTGAGCACCTCCCAGATGCCACCCCCGTGCGCGTGCCGCGTTTTGGGGTGGCACTGCCCCCTCCCCTGGCACGTTTGGGATTGTTCCCCTCTCCCCGCAGGGATCCCGCAGAAGCCGCAGATCTTCGGGCACGAGCAGCCCATCGACGAGGAGAAGGTGGCACGGCTGCTGTGCCGCTCGTCCGGCAGCAAACCCGCGGCGCAGCTGCGCTGGAGGAAGGGCAACCGCGACATCAAGGGTGGGTGCCACCGGCACCGGGGTGGCACTGGCACCCCGGGGTGGCATTGTCATCGTGGGATGGGTGGCATTGTCATCGTGGGATGGGTGGCATTGACGCCGTGGGGTGGCATTGCCACCCTGGGGTGGCATTTTCATCATGGGATGGGTAGCACTGTCACCCCGGGGTGGCATTGTCACCATTGGATGGGTGACATTGTCACCATTGGATGGGTGGCATTGTCACCTTGGGGTGGGTGGCATTGTGACCGTGGGATGGCATTGTTGCTGTGGGATGGGTGGCAGGGATGGGTGGCATTGTCGCCATGGGGTGGCATTGTCACCATGGGGTGGGTGGCATTGTCACTTGGGATGGGTGGCATTGATGCCGTGGCATGGCATTATGCTGTGGGATGGGTGGCAGGGATGGGCAGCATTGTCACCATGGGGTGGGTGGCATCGTGAAATGGGTGCCATTGTCACCCTGGGATGGCATTTTCATCATGGGATGGGTGGCATCACCATGGATGGCATTGTTGCTGTGGGATGGGTGGCAGGGATGGGTGGCATTGTCGCCATGGGGTGGCATTGGCACCAGGGTGGCATTTTCATCGTGGGATGGGTGTCATTGTCACCATGGGATGGGTGTCATTGTCACCATGGGGTGGCATTGTCATCGTGGGATGGATGGCATTGTCACCATGGGTGGCATTGTCACCATAGGATGGGTGGCTTTATCACCATGGGATGGGTGGCATTGTCACCGTGGGATGGCATTGGTACCATGGGATGGGTGGCATTGTTGCCATTGGATGGGTGACATTGTCACCATGGGATGGATGGCATTGTCACCATGGGTGGCATTGTCACCATAGGGTGGGTGGCACTGTTGTTGTTTGTTATAATATAAAATATAAAGTAATAGAATGTGACATAATAAAATATAACATAGCATAATATAACATAGCAATATAACATAACATATTTTATTGTAATATATTATAATATAACTATTATATTTAAACGTAATATATGTTATAACATATTATAATAACATAATATAACATAATAGTATAACATAATATAATATAGTGTAGTATAATACAATGTAATATAATATAGGATAATATTGTGTTATATAATCTAGTGTAATATAATATCAGTGTAATTATATAAATAATATATTATAATGCATTATGTATATAGTCTATATTAATATAACAGTACAAAAGGATAGAATTCTATATAATGTAATGTAATATAATATAATGTTATATCATATAATGTAATATAATATGGTGTAATATAATATAGTATAATATAATATAAATATAATTATATATTATTTTTTACTATTTATAATAAATAAATATAGATAATATAATTTATTATGTATATAATCTCTAATACATTAATATAATATAGTACAAAATAATATAATAGAATTCTATATTATATAATATATTACATTACATTACATTGTACTACATTACATTATATTACATTACCTTATACAAGGTATATGTAATATATAGTAGTTATAAAACTAAAATATAGAATATATAATATTATTATTATATTATAATTGTATAATATATTCTATATAATAATATATCTTATTCTATAATATATATTAAATAACTTTCTAAACTAATATATGGAATTTCTCACTTATTTAAAAAATATTCTCATTTAAAACTATAGAAATGTAAATTTATGATTTTTCTGCTTAATGTCTGTGTATTGTATTTTTAAATTATAATATAATCATCATTTAATTATAATAGTTACAATACAATTATAAATTTATCGTTTCTCACTTATTTAATCATATTTTCATTTACAACTCTAGAAATGTAAATTTATGATTTTTCTGCTTAATGTCTCTGTGTTGTATTTTTAAATTATAATATAATCATCATATAATTATAATCGTTACAATCATGATACAGTTGTAATACATTTATAATACAATTATGATAATATTTATAATTTCTCACTTACTTAAAGCATTTTCTCACAAGTCTAGAAATGTAAATTTATGATTTTTCTGCTTAATGTCTGTGTATTGTATTTTTACAATTATAATAATATAGTTATAATACATTTATAATACAGTTGTAATACAATTATAATGCAGTTTTAATGCAGTAATAATACAGTTATTATGCAAATTTATTGGAGTAATAATGCAATTATAATGCAGATATAATGCATTAATAATACATTAATAATGCAGTAATAATACCATTATAATGCAGTTTTAATGCAGTAATAATACATTAATGATGCAGTAATAATAAAATTACAATACTATTATAATGCAGTAATAATACAATTATAATGCAGATGTAATGCAGTAATAATGCAGTAATAGTACAATTATAATGCAGTAATAATACAGTTATAAAGCAGATATAATTCAATTATAATGCAGTTATAATACAATTATAATGCAGATATAATGCATTAATAATATATTAATAATGCAGTAATAATACCATTATAATGCAGTAGTAAAGCATTAATAATGCAGTAATAATACAGTTATAATGCAATTATTATGCAGTAATAATGCAATTATAATGCAGTTATAATACAATTATAATGCAGTAGTAAAGCATTAATAATGAAGTAATAATACAGTTATAATGCAATTATTATGCAGTAATAATGCAATTATAATGCAGTTATAATACAATTATAATGCAGTAGTAATGCATTAATAGTGCAGTAATAATACAGTTATAATGCAATTATTATGCAGTAATAATGCATTAATGATTCAGTAATAATACAATTCCAATACAAGTATAATAGAGATATAATTCATTAATAATACATTAATAATGCAGTAATAATCCAGTTATCATGCAATTATAATGCAGCAAGAATATATTAATAGTGCAGTAATAATACAGTTATAATGCAATTATAATGCAGCAAGAATATATTAATAGTGCAGTAATAATACAGTTATCATGCAATTATTATTTAATTTAATTATTATCCCCTGTCCCCGCAGACTCGGGCACCGAGGTGGTGGAGGACCCCAACGGCAAAACCTTCACGGTGACCAGCCGGGTGGAGTTCCGTGTCACCAAGGAGGACAACGAGGTGGAGGTCACCTGCACCGTGGACCACGAGTCCCTGCAGAACTCCGAGAGGTCGACCACGCAGAAGCTGCAGGTCCACTGTAGGTGGCAGGGGACATTTGGGTGGCACTGGACCTTCAGGGGACCCCACACGAGTTCTGTCCCCAAATCCTGTTTGTCCCCATCTCCCAGAGGTTCATCCCTGCATCTCTTCCCATCCTTGTCCCCAGATCCTTCTCACCATCTCCAGACTTCTGTCCCTGCTCCCCTTCCCTCATCCTGTCCCCAGATCCATCTCCCAGAGGTTTGTCCCTTCACCTGTTCCCACCCGTCCTCAAATCTTTGTCCCCATCTCCAGAGGTTTGTCCCTGCACCTCTTCCCTCATCCTGTCCTCAAATCTTTGTCCCCACATCTCAGGGATTTGTCCCTGCTCCACTTTCCACCCCTGTCCCCCAATCCTTGTCCCCGTGTCCAGGGATTTGTCCCTGCTCCACTTCCTACCCCTGTTCCCAAATCTTTGTCCCCATCTCCAGAGGTTTGTCCCTGCATCACTTTTCTCATCCTGTCCCCAAATCCTCCTTGTCCCCATCCCCAGGGGTTTGTCCCTGCTCCACTTCCCACCCCTGTCCCCAAATCTTTGTCCCCATCTCCAGGGATTTGTCCCTGCATCACTTTTCTCATCTTGTCCCCAGATCCTTGTCCCCATCTCCCAGAGGTTTGTCCCTGTATCACTTCCCTCATCTTGTCCCCAAATCCTTGTCCCCATCTCCAGAGGTTTGTCCCTGCTCCACTTCTCTCATCCTGTCCCCAAATCCTCCTTGTCCCCATCCCCAGGGATTTGTCCCTGCATCACTTTTCTCATCTTGTCCCCAAATCCTTCTCCCCATCTCCAGGGGTTTGTCCCTGCTCCACCTCCCACCCCTGTCCCCAAATCCTTGTCCCCATCTCCAGAGGTTTGTCCCTGCTCCACTTCTCTCATCCTGTCCCCAAATCCTTCTTGTCAGGGCATTATTTGGTGTGCCAGGTGCTGGATTTGGGATTCCAGGGGCAGGATCTGGATTTCCAAGTGAAGGATTTGTGGTTCCAGGGGCCAGATTTGGGGTGCCAGGTACAGGATTTGGGGTTCCAGGGGAGGATTTGGGATACCAGGTGCAGGAATTGGGATACCAGGGCTGGATTTGGGTTTCTAAGTGCAGGATTTGGGGTTCCAGGGTCGAGATTTGGGGTTCCAGGAGCAGCATTTGGGGCTCCAGGGACAGGATTTGTGGTTCCAGCTACAGGATTTGGGATACCAGGGCAGGATTTGGAGTACCAGGGGCAGGATCTGGGGTTCCAGGTGCAGGATTTGGGATACCAGGGGAAGGATTTGAGTTTCCAGGTGCAGAATTTGAGGTTCCAGCTACAGGATTTGGGATACCAGGGCAGGATTTGAGTTTCCAGGTGCAGGATTTGAGGTTCCAGCTACAGGATTTGGGATACCAGGGCAGGATTTGGGATTCCAGGTGCAGGATTTGGGATACCAGGGCAGGATTTGGAGTACCAGGGGCTGGATCTGGGGTTCCAGGTTCAGGATTTGGGATACCAGGGGAAGGATTTGAGTTTCCAGGTGCAGGATTTGAGGTTCCAGGTACAGGATTTGGGATACCAGGGCAGCATTTGGGATTCCAGGTACAGGATTTGGGATTCCAGGTGCAGGATTTGGGATTCCAGGTGCAGGATTTGGGATACCAGGGCAGGATTTGGGATTCCAGGTGCAGGATTTGGGATACCAGGGCAGGATTTGGGATGCCAGGGCAGGATCTGAGTTTCCAGGTACAGGATTTGGGATACCAGGGCAGGATTTGGGATGCCAGGGCAGGATCTGAGTTTCCAGGTACAGGATTTGGATTTCCAAGTGCAGGATTTGGGGTGCCAGTGTCAGGATGTGGGGTGCCAGGTGCAGGATTTGGGATGCCAGGCAGGATTTGGGATGCCAGGGCAGAGTTTGGGGTTCCAGGTGCAGGATTTGGGGTTCCAGGGCATTATTTGGGGTGCCAGGCCCTCACCCCACTGTTCTCTCCCCCTTTTCCAGACAAGCCCACGGCCAAGATCGAGCCTCACCCGCAGTACCCGCGCGAGGGGGAGAAGCTGCAGCTGCAGTGTGATGGGCAGGGCAACCCCATGTAAGGCCTTCCTCCCCTCCCTCCTCCTCCTCGGGGCTTCCCCTCCCTCTGCCAGGTCCCACAGCCCACCCCAGGAGGGGCTTTGGGGTGTCCCTGTCCCCGGGGGGGTTCCACGAGAGGTGACAGAACAGAAACCCTAAAATCACAAAGAATCAGGACAGAAACACTAAAAACCCCAAAGAATCAAAACAGAAACCTTAAAACTCAAAAGAATCAGAACAGAAAACCTGAAACCCCAAGGAACAGCAACCCTAAACCCCAAAGAACAGAAACCCCAAACCCCCAGGAGCAGCCCCCCAAAGCCCAGGACCAGCACCCCAAACCCCATGGAACAGAAATCCTAAAACCCCAAAGAATCAGACCAGAACCCCTAAAACCCCAGGACCAGCACCCCAAACCCCAAGGAACAGAACCCCTCCAGGAACAGCACCCCTAAAACTCGGGAACAGAACCCCTAAAACCCCAAAGAATCGGAACAGAAACCCTAAAACCCAAGGAATAGAAGCCCTAAAACCCCAGGACCAGCACCTCCAACCCCAAGGACCAGCCCCCCATACCCCATGGAACAGAAACCCTAAACCCCCAAAGAATCAGAACAGAAACCCCAAACCCCCAGGAGCAGCCCACAAAATTCCAATACCAGCCCCCCAAACCCCAGGAACAGAAACCCTAAAACCCCAAAGAATCAGACCAGAACCCCCAAACCCCAAGGAACAGCCCCCCATACCCCAGGACCAGCACCCCAAACCCCAAGGAACAGAAACCATAAAAACCAAAGACCAGCCCCCCAAACCCCAAGGACCATCCCCCCAAACCCCAAAGACCATCCCCCCAAACCCCAAGGACC